ATATATAAATCAGGTTAAACTCTTTCAGTTTTGAATATTTAACTGACACTGCTAAACTCCACACAACAAACAACTCAAGATTGATATTTAGATTAAATGAATAAATAAACTTTATTGCTGTTGCACCAACCTGTACAAAATAATAAAATAAAATAAAATTAAATAAAATGTACTCTTTATATTCTTTACACCAGAGTGAATGAAAATATAATGCTAGCTATTATAGAAGTTTTTGTTTTTTGTGTCATTTAAAAAAGGCTCAATGATGCTGATGACTAGTAGGCTTAATAATTGGTTGGTAATTATAATATATTTGTGCAGAATTGATTTCAAAATCAGCTAAACATGTCTGAGCAAACAGTGGTGGTGCGATACAAAAGAAATTACTCTTTAGTTAGCTTATTTGGCCTTTATCTGAGAGATGCTGCATGTTCAATCAGCCTAAAGTTAACAGCTGATCATCATGTTTCAACCATTTATCTGCACAAACACTAAAAGCAACTGCAGCTCATATTTTCATCATTGCTCCAGATTCAGTCCACACCATTTCACGAAACGTGAGTCTTTTGGGCAGCTGCAACTAATGATGACTTTTGTCAAAACAACTCATGTATTGACTTCAACCAATCAATATAAACCAATGGTATTTATCTACTCATTTAACATCTGTATAACTTATACTATTACACCCATTTTGAAGCTCATTTAAATATACAGTATATACCAGGTGAGTCAAAAGACACAGGGCAGCCTTTTATTTTCATCCAATATGGAGGCTTTTGAGATGTTCTAGTTATAGCCTAAAAGATAGGCCTGTGACTCATTACTTGATGGAGTGTTCAGATGTTTAATTTCCACTTTTTTATCTGATATAAAAGGTTTCCTGTGATATGTGACTCACCCTGTGCGCACATATAGCCTTGATGCTTATCACTGATCTTAATGTCTATATTTACCCTTCATTAAAAAACAGATGTGTTGGATTTTTTAAACCAAATTTTGTCAGCTGGTTCCACTCAGCTGAATGGAGTGAAAGTAAAGCAATTTTTACATGTAAGGTACTTTAAAAGTAATTGTGAATTAAATACTTTAAATTAAATTTGGTTAAGTAAATCCAATGCATTTGTTTTCTTGAGTGGAAGTGGAAACCACACAAAAAACATCAAAATAAAAAACAAAAGCTAAACCGGTGAAGTGTAAAGGTATGAACCTGCATCTATTTTCTGATATGTTGTCGACTTTCATTTTCTCCTATGATGAATGTTCTTGTATAATAA